GCTATTGTGCGTGACCAGAGATTCTCTGATGACGTCATGGCAGCCAGGTGACTCACTCTAGAATAAAACAATTATCCACTCAACAAATACTCATTAGGCACCGACCATACACTGGGCACCATGCTGAGCACTGGGGAGTCCACATGGGACCAGGACTCACCTGACTTTTGTCCCACAAGGTGTGAGCTAAATCTGGCAGACGGAGATCAGTGCTTCAGAAAGGCTCTTGCCCGGCCGGGCGTGGCTCAGGGGCTGAGCATCGACCTAGAATCCAGGAGATCGAGATTCGATTCCTGGTCAGAGCACGTGATGGGGCTTCAGGCTCGATCCCCAGCAGGGGGTGTGTAGGAGGCAGTCAATCAATGACTCTCATCATTGATGTTTCTCTCTCTCTCTCCCTCTCCCTTTCCCTTCCTCTCTCTGAAATCAATAAAAAATATATTTTAAAAACAAAAACAAAAAAAGAAATGCTCTTAATCTTTCACCCTGGCCAGTGTGGCCCAGTGGTTAGAACATCGGCCTACACATTGAGGGGTCACGGGTTTGTACCTGGGTTGCAGGTTTGATACCCGGCCCTGGTCGGGGTCATGCGGGAGGCAACCAATGGATGTGTCTCACATCGATATTTCTCTCTCCCCCTTTCTCCAGCCCTCCCATTCTCTCTAAGCAGCAATGGAACAAATGTCCTCAGGTGAGAATTAATGAAAAGAACGGCTCTTATCTTTCACTATGTAAAGACATCTTTGTGGCAAAACCCAAGTGCTTTCCTAAGAAGGCCGGTGGTCTTAGAGAATCTCACGGATCAAAAGTTGTTGTTTCTTCTGCCGCATGAAGCCAACTACCTGAGCCCAGAGAGGAGAGGGCATCGCTCCTGATAATGGGATAGGAGCCAATTCATCTTCCTCTATTGACAGCAGAATATTTCTATCTCTATTCTGCTACCGAGGACAGACTCAGAGCACGAATTTAACACCTACATTTCAATGGATCTCAATGATAAAAATAACATTAGAAATAACCATTTTAAAAAAAAACTAAAAGCAGTTTTTTTCTATTCTTTAAATCATGTGCCCGGCCAGGCGTGGCTCAGCGGTTGAGCGTCGACCTAGGATCCAGGCGATCAGGGTTCGATTCCCGGTCAGGGCATGTGCCCGAAGTGCGGGCTCCAACCGATCAATGACTCTCTTGTCGTTGATGTTTCTGTCTCTCTCTCTCCCTCTCCTTTCCTCTGAAATCAATAAAGATATTTAAAAAAAAAAATCATGTACCGGACGTATGTGCCTTTGGTGCATCTGCGAAAGCTGCATTTCTACAGGTGTGACCATTTCCCAAAGGACCGCCGGCGGGCTGCCTGGAAGCAAGAGCCACTGAGCATCCTGCCTCACACTCCGAGCGGAGCGATTTTAAAGCAACGCGCGCTCTGTACCAGTTTTGTCCTGCTCTCGCTTCCCACAGCCCTGCCCGACTGTAAAACCCACTCAGGAGTGGGGAGGAGTGAGCGTCTCTGCGTTGAGCCCGAGCAAGCGTCACACGATAGTCCGCTCAGCACCCCCACTAAGCAGGGTGTGACCTGCACCACCTTCCCGGATTTTCTTCCTTTCTTCCTTTGACTAACGGAAACAAAGCTTTCCCCAAGGAGTCCGAATGCAGCCCCCAGTCGAAGTCTCAACTGACAACACAAAGTACAACCACCGGGTCCGGACGGCTTCCAAAGGGGACTTTGCTCTTAGGCACTGGGCTGAGAAACTCCAGGGGACGGAAAGCAAACACGGACCCATCCACACCCCACAGGCGCCCCGGCTCCGTTAACGTGGGAACTGATGACAGGAAAATCTCCACGTGGTTGTAAACATATTTGAAGTGTTTGGAAGTTGTTTTAAATCCTAATATTTACAATGCCTGGTTTCTGTCTGTTTTCAGAATTCTCTCCTAATGAGAATCTACAGGAGCTTTACAAACATGGAGTGACAATCAGATGTACTGTTCGGGTTTCCACCTTCCAAATGGATGGGCACGCACAGCCACAGGGGCCCGTAAAAGTCGGGGTGGGGGGACGGACACACGGATCCCTACACCAGACACCAAGAGTCTTGGACAGTCAATCTAGAAAACCATGTGTTTCTAATTGGCAGCTAGATAACAACTTATCATAAATTTTTTTCAGAGCAAAGAAAAACTAAGTTCCAAGTATATAAAGAGGTATAAATAAAATTCTTATTTTCTTCAAGAAAAAAGGGTATCTCATTTTTTCCCCATTCACAATCTGCTACTTTAAAAAGTCAATCTTAAAATTAAATGGCTCACTCTTAACCATTGGATCAAAGAAGAAATGACTAGAGAATTTAAAAAAATATCTGGAGACAAATGAAAATGAAAGCAAAACATACTAAAACTGATGGGATGCGAAAAAGTAGTACTAAGAGACAAGTTTATAGCCGTAAACACTTATATTAAAGAGAAAAAAGATCTCACATCAACAACCTAACTTTACGCCTCAAGGACCTGGGAAAAGAAAAACAAACTAAACCAAAAGTTAGCAGAAAACAAAGTGTAGAGCAGAGTTAAATGAAATAGAGAACAGAAAAACAGTTCTAAAAAATCAGTGAAACCAACAATTTATTTTTAAAAGATTAACAAAATTGACAAATTCTCAGCTACAGCAAGAAAAAAAGAGAAGACACAACTAAAATTAGGAAATAAGAGACTGCTGTGAACAAATACATGCCGATGAACTGATAAGCCAGAAGAAACGGATAAATTCCTTGACACATACAACCTACCAAGACTGAATCGTAAACAAATAAAAACTCTGAACACATCTATAATTGGAAGGATATTGAAGCAGTAATAGAAAATCTCCCAACGAAGAAAAACCCCAGACCAGATGGCCTCACTGGAGAATTCTATCAAAAATTTAAAGAGGAATTAATGCCAATAACTCTTCAAACTCTCCCAAAGAACTGAAGGGGGGAAACACTTCCATTCTCATTCTATGAGGCCGGCATTACTCTGATACCAAAGCCAGACAAAGACACACAAAAAACTACACAGACTGATATCAATGTTGAACATCAATGCAAAAAATCCTCCGCAAGATAAGACCAAACTGAACTGAATAGTACATTAAAATAATTCCATACATCACGGCCAAGGGGGGCTCGCGCTTGGAATGCAAGGATGGTTCGACACATGAACATCCATCCATGTAATATGCCGCATTAACAGAGTGAATGTTTTTCTTGATTGATGCGGAAAAAGCACCTGACAAAATTCAACGTCCTTTCTTGCTAAAAATACTCAAGCTAGAAATAGAGGGAAACTACCGTAACACAATCAAAGCCCTACCTGAGACGCCCACCGCTAACATCACCTTCTGTGATGAAAGACTAGAAGCTTTTCCTCTTGGAACAGGAACAAAGCAAGGACGCCCACTCTCACCACTAATACTCAGCACAGTACTGGAGGCCCACCAGTGCAATTAGACAAGAAAAACAAAAGGCATCCAAATTAGGAAGGAAGCAGCAAAATTATGTTTGCAGAGGACATAATCTCACATGTAAAAAAAACTACTAAAGATTCCACACACAAAACATTTAAAACTAATAAACAATTTCAGCAAAATTGCAGATAAAAAAAAAATCAACGCACAGAAATCCGTTGCATTTCTATACACTAACAACTAATCCAAAAGGAGATTAAGAAAGCAGTCCTATTTGTCATTGCATCAAAAAGAGTAAAATATTTAGGAAAAAACTTAACCAAGTAGGTGACAGACTTATACAAGAAAACTACATGGGGGGAGGTAGGAGAGGGTAAAGCGGGAATAAATGGTGATGGAAGGAGACGTGACTTGGGGTGGTGAACACACAGCACAATATACAGATGATGTGTTATAGAACCGTACACCTGTAACCTACATAGTTTTATTAACCAATGTCACCCCCAATACATGGAATTAAAAAAGCAATCTATAAAACATTGCTAAAAAAGATTTTTAGAAGATAAATAAATGGAAGCACACCCCATTTTCATGGATTGGAACTCAGTGTTGTTAAGATGTCTACACTACCCCAGGTAATCTATAGATTCAGTGCCATCCCTGTCAAAATCATTCAATGGCATTTTTCATAATAGAAAAATTCCTGAAATTCGTAAGAAATCTCAGGGATTCCCAAATGGCCCAAACGCACTTGAAAAGGAACAAAGTTGGAGGCCTCACGCTCCCCGATTTCAAAACATGCTCCAAAGTAACAGTCATCAAGCTGGTGTGGCGTCTTTATTGGCATAAAGACAGATGATACGGACCAATGGGAGAGAACAGAGCTCGGAAATAAACCCTTGCGGATGTGGCCAAGTGACTTCCGGCAGTGGGGCAAGGACAGTCTTTTCAACAAATGGTGCAGGGAAAACAATCTCTGCGTGCAGAAGCGCGAAGCGGGACCCGAACCTTCAGGCTGGGATGGTAGCCCGAACTCTGCTACGTGTCAACTGTGGGCTTGGGGACAGCATGTTCCTGTGTATGCAGGTTATGCTCCCATTTGTTTTCTTTCAAAAGAGAACTGTAAGTAAAAATACAAGATGATACACCAGTTTTGGCTAATATGATTTCGAAAGTAATACGATTAAATTTATGGGGACGTAAAATACAGCGTAGGAAGTCTAATCAATAACACTAATAACTATGTATGGAGTCAGTGGTACTGGACTTATCAGGGGGAACGGTTCGTAAATCACATGTCTACCCACTGTGCTGTACACCTGAAACTAATACAAGATTGAATGTCAACAGTAATTGAAAAAAATAAAATAAGAATAGTCAAAAATATGATTAAATTTTGCAAAGCAGAATAATAAATCTATATGGTTTCTGTTATGGCAACAGACCAAACATTGTCCTTTCACAGGCTTTAATCAGATGAGAAATCGTGAAGTGCCATATATTTAACACCCGAGGTGGACCTGCTTTTAGCGTCAGTCCCTTTAAGGCGCTCCGGGCCTACCTTTTGGTTATTGCCGGCACAGCAGCGTCCTTCCTGGGCCCAGAGGGGGACGGCAGAGAGCCGCTGGGTTTCTTTGGTAACACGGTGCCATTGTTGACGGTGGTTCGTAAAGGCAAGGTCTGCACCAGCGGTCTTGCTGTAAGACAAGTGGAAGCAGAAATCAGAACCTGCCCCTTGTCACAGTAACACTTTTTTTTTTTTAAGTATGCCTTTACTGATTCCAGAGAGAGGAAGGGAGGGGGGAGAGAGAGAGAAATATCAATGATGAGAGTCATGGATCGGCTGCCTCCCGCACGCCCCCGACTGGGGATCGAGCCCACAACCCGGGCCTGTGCCCCGACCGGGAATCGAACCGCGATCTCCTGGATCATAAGTTGATGCTCAACCGCTGAGCCACGCCGGCCGGGCATCACAGTAACTCTTGGAGTCATGCAGGAAGGCATCGACTTTACCAGCACTAGCAACACCGACGAAGGTGCAGGGACAATTCAGACAAGCGGCGCTGGGACATCGAACCCAAACACCCCCCTCACACTTTCTACAGAAGTCGGCTCGACACGGACCACAGGCCTCAGTGTAAAATGCAAAACTACAAAACTTCTAGGTGAAAGCACAGGAGGAAGCTGTGTCCCAGATCTGGGTCTGGTGATGACCTTTTTTTAGATACGACACGACACCAGAAGCACAAGCCATGAAAGAAAAAATTGATAGCGAGGGCTTCATTAACGTTAATAAAAGGTTTGCTCTGTGAAAGGCACTGTTAAGGGAATGAAAAGACAAGTTGCAGACTGGGAAAAAAATGTCTGCAAATCATAGCTGATAAAGGATTTGTAAACAGAATATAAGTTTTTTTAAAAACTCTAAAAACTCAACAGTAAGAAAACAGCCCAATTTTTAAAAAATAGGCAAAAGATCTGAACAGACCCCTCACCAAAGAAGATACACAGATGGCAAATAAGCATATGAAAAGACGCTCAGCACCCTTTGTCACCAGGGAAATGCAAATTAAAACAATGAGATATCTCTATACACCTATTAGGGTGGCTAAAACCCAAAAACAAGGCAAAATACCAACTGCCGGCCAGGATGCGCAGCAACAGGAACTCCCTCGCCGCCGGCCGGCGGGGTGCAGAGCTGTGCCGTCGCTGTTTGGCGGTCGCTAAATAGTCTTACCACACAATCCAGCAACTGCGTGACGCCAGGTATTTACCCACCGGTTGGAAGACTTACGTCTATATAAAACCTTCACTTAATATTTACAGCAGCTTTATTCATAATTGTCAACAGCGGGAAGCAACCGAGATGTCCTCCAGCCGGTGGGTGGGTAAACGAACCCTGGAGCATCCATACGGTCGAGAGTGAACCAGTCCACACAACACGCCCATGCTGCTAAGTCAAGGGGACGCAGGAGCCGAAGCTGGAACGGTGTGAGCACCGAAATAAAGCGCATTGGATTCTAGCCCAAAGTGTAAAATAACTAACCACGAGTCCGCACTGACCCACGTTAGTGACCGAGTGGAGCGCCAAGTGGGAGAGAAGGGGTCCAGGCCCGCGGAGGTGCCCGTTTCTCGGCCTGTCTACTCCACGCGTGGAGGCTCCCGTAGGCAGCACTGTGCTGAGGCCCACACAGAAGGAATTCAGCGCGCATCTGAGGATCAGGCTGCATTCAATTTCGATCACAAAATCCCTGCTTTGAAGAAGAGGCATAACGTTGCCCCTTCCGAGTCACTACCCTGTTTGTTACTTTGGGCCCAGCACGCCTGGCACACCCCGCTGGCAGTGACCGCCGGCCAGACGCCTGGCCCATTTCCCTGTCCGTGAGTAGAGGCTTTGCTGTGCAAGTGCTCCAGGGGCGGCGCCTCCTGCTCTGGAACCTACGATCCTAAGTCGCGTCAGGAGAGTGCTCAGAGAGGCAACAGCGGCTTTCTATGCGACTCTGACACCCTGGGAGGTTCTCCTGGGCTCTCGGCCCACGGGAAGTGAAGGGGGAGCTCGAGGCAGGAGAGGGCAGGCCCCGGGGTGGGGGAGATGGAGGCGCAGGCACAGGGGTGGCCTGTGGCCAGCGGTGGCTTTTCGTCTAGTAACAGAAGGTCCCCACGGGCTGCAGCTTGGTGACAGGACTGGCTCTGGGGTTTTCCGAATGTCAGGTTTGTAGGACGCACGATTAAGCCTGAAGTGGGCATTTTTTCCATCTTTCTAAGTGGTAGGAGCGGAGTAACCAGGCTTCAGAAAGTACTATGCACGAGGATCCACTTCAAAACTACAGCTGATGCAAATACTGAAATTCAAGGGCGGCTAGTCATATCTACTCACGCTTATGATGATACAAGTTTACTCGAAGATCAAGAAACCCTTTTAACGTACATTAACAACTCAATGTGCAACGTTTGATACGTAAACTCTCCATTAGGCCTAAAAATAAATTTAAGTATGCAAAGCATGACTATGTATGTGGTTATGTGTGAAATCTACGGTATAATTTTAGCATATCTGACCATTATAGACCTAGGATTCCTAATGATCTTTTTCAAAACTTAAAGCACGTCTATATTTGGAGTTGGAGAAGGCACTCTGCTTTTGCTAAACTGCAAGACAAAGCAGATAACTGGTTACGTGCTGGGGGAGATTCCTGTCACAAATACCCAGCGAAATTACAGATGCATTTATCCTGATACAGAAATCCCACTCCCAGGAATCTACCCTAAAGATATACTGGAGTACAAAATGCCATATGTACAGTTATTTGTAAATTATTTGTAAAACAAAGAACCACCAATAGGGACCGGCATCAACACAGCTCACCCTCACCGTGGAGCACTATGCAGCGGTGTAAAAGGAACAAGGACAGTCTCTACACACTGCAGTGAAAAGAGCAAGGTCAGGACTAGTGTGTAGATACGTCACCTCTTACCTGCTGTGCCAGAAATCTGCAGATGTAAAATTTTAACTCATATCATTTAAAAAAGATCAGAATGCACGTGAATCACGTTTTAACATACTGCGTGATGGGCAGACAAGGCCGTCTGTGGTGCCATGCTTATTTACGTGAATTCTCGGGCATGGGTCTAGTAGTGCAAGAATCCTGTAACCCTAAAAATTCAATACAATGGAAACATTTATGGGGGGAAAGACATGAATGAACCGATTGCAAAAAGTCATTAAGATCCCAAATTTCCACCCAAAAATGAAGGAATAAACAGTACATTGTGCATCTATATAAGAGACTCCTCAGCCACAGAAAGGGTGAAGCCCCGATGCAGCTACGACATGCATGAGCCCTGGAGACAGTGCTGAGGGAAAGTGCTAGAAGGCCTCATATTCCCGACTCCACTGATAAGTGTCCAGAATAGTCAAATCCACGGGGACAGTAAATTAATGGTTACCAGGGAGGGTAGAGGGAGGGGGCAGGGGGACACGAATGCTAATGGGTGTGGGGTATTTTTTTGGGGGTGGTAAAATGTTCTAAAATTAGATAGTGAGGATGGCTGTATGACTTTATGAAACTAAAAACCATTGAATTGTATACTTTAAAACGAGGGGGGAAAGTCTGGGCCTCAGGGCCGAATAGGTCTGGCCCTGCCAAGGCAACCACAGGCAGGACTCAAAATTCAATAAATCTAGGGGCTTTCTTCATAGCTAATTTTTAAGTTGATAATTCCGTATGGCCTGCAAATGTTATAAGTATCCAAAGGCTCTTGGCAGAAAAAAGGTTCTCTACCCCTGCGCTTTAAAAGGATTAATTTTATGTTATGTGAATTATATTTCAATAAGGCTGCTATAAAAAGTCATTAGGTAACTGGGAAAATCTGAATGCTGACTTGGTATTATTCATTTTTAAATGCAGTGGTATTATGGATTTTAAAAAAGAATCCTTATATTTTAGAACTATATATGGACTTATTTACAGATAAAATGATGCAATGTCTCAGATCTGCCTCAAAATAATCAATGGGGTGAGGGGAAGTGAATGGGGGGAGGGGAGGGATACTACACAAAGCAAAATCGACTACATGTTGATAAATACTGAAGCCAGGTAAAAAATGAGAGGTATTTTTCTTTTTACTGTTATATACATTTGAACACTTTCATAATACGAAGTTTAAAAACAATCTTTCTTAGGCTCTGAAAAACTGAATATACCTTCTAACCCTTTTCTATCAATCACTAAAGAATTCGGACCTGAACTGGGAGGGCAATTACTGAGAAAATGGGAGGAAGTGCAGTGTGCCCCGCCCCAGAGACAGCGGGGTTACGCTCCGAAGTGAACTGACAGGTAAGGAGAAAGCACAGCGAGAGGGGGGAAGTGCTAATTGTGGTTAACCAGGATAAAGAACTAAGTTAATTATCCATTAATTTCACTGCAAAAGCCTTCCAATTTTTTTAATGTGCTAGTTGTATCTATCTAATGAAATTTGTGAAGGGACCATAACACAGCATTTCACACAATTACGTGCTGAATGTGACCTACTGTCTTTGGGACACTTTGCAAATCAAATCAGACCTTGAGGAAAGAACTCTCATTGCTAGTTATATAGTTACTCATTTCTTAAATATTTGACTTGATTTGAATAATGCTAATTTAAATAATATTGCTAAGAGGCGAGCAGAGCAAAGCAGTGTGGATTTGTCGGAAAGGACCCATCCAGTGTCCAGCCAGGCCTGGGGGGTCCAGATCCAGACCCTCCCTCACGAGCTGTGTAACCTGGAGCGGATTAGTCTCCTAGAGGCAGCTTCCTCCTCTGTAAAATGGGCACGTTAATCCCTCCCTCAAAGGACCGTGCAGAGGTGAGATGAGCTCCTGTATCCAAGTACCTCCCGGGAAGCCCAGCCTCGAGCCAGCTAACATCCGGCGAAATATGAATGTAGCAGAGGCCCCATTATTAACGGTAACCAGGGCTCACTTGCTCAGCAGCATGGCTAGCAGAGGTGTTTGGTTATGTTTATTAAGTCTCTGATCATTACTGGGGCTATTAATAAAGTCTGCAAAGGTGCATTAAAGTTGTCCAATGACAGCAAAGTTAAAATGAGCACTAGGAGCTACTTGCTGGCTAATGCCGAGCAAAGCATGCACCCAGATGCTGGGGCGATGACTATATCAACCCGCATTTTACATGTAAACCCTGCAACACTCGCGTGGCCCGGACATGGAAATTAGCCATGCACATGTACAACGGATCCACTATTGATCTAACCAAACCACGGCTCCTGCCTTCGCGGGAGCACGCGAGCAGCTCCACCTGGGAGTCTGTGAGCCCCGGCGCTGGTCTCCGCGCAGTGAAGGTCAGGTTCGGTGACGAGAACAGAGTCCTTCTAAAACACAAGTGTCTTCTGTGTATTAAGGACTACGCTCCAAGGAACATTCAGAAGCCAAATGAACTATAAAAAGTCATCATAAGCCTACCACTGAGGAAAAGATAGATTTTGCCTAGATTTTGTTTATTTAGTTGACATGATGGCACATGCAGTTTTAGATGCTTTCAACTCCTAACGTACATAATACACACGCATTTCCCGTTACCCAGCAGACAGCTGTGAAGACACAGCTCGGTCACGGGCGGTGGGCCTTCCGGCCGTGCCCTACGCTTGCCTTCCTCCGTTTCCCATCGTTTCCCCCTGTGGGAAACGACACAGTGACCTCTTCATTCGCCAAGCGGTTTCTGTGTTTACACCCACACGGCAACATGTAAGGGTCTGCTCACTTCATTCTACCAGCAGCGAGTTCCGCCCCCATCCAGCCGCAACGCTCACAAAACCTGACTATTAGCACAAGTTCTAGAACGTATGCCCCATGAGCTGTCCGATTCTCTTTTCTCGGCTCTACGGGGACCCCAGCTCAGCCAACCTTCCCACCTGCATGTAGACCCAACGTGGACGAAGCTCACCTCGCAGGCTGATGTCCCTGCATTTAGACACATCTGAGGGCAATGAGGGAGCTTGGGTGGAGGCCAAGTTCAGTCTACGACCCAGTACCATTGGGTTAAGAAGAGGTGGGTAACTAATTAGTACGACGGGCCATTCTAGAGACAGGAGAGTATCGTCAATAAAAAGTAGTCTGAGCCCAGCTGGCGTGGCTCAGCGGTCGAGCATCGACCTAGGATCCAGGAGATCGCGGTTTGATTCCCCGTCAGGGCACATGCCTGGGCTGTGGGCTCGATCCCCAGTCGGGGGCATGCAGGAGGCAGCCGATCAATGACTCTCATCATTGATGTTTCTATCTCTCCCCCCCCTCCTTGAAATTATATATATACACACACACACAAAAGTAGACTAAGACACAGCCCCCTCTATATAAACAGTCCACAGCATTTTGTGGGGTTGGCCAGTCTTCCCCGTCTCAGGAAGCCTCGAACTTGACCTACGAGGGGGTTCCTTTCGTGAGACTGCAGTTCTCACCATTGCACTAGTTCAGTCGGACAAACAACGACCAAGTGAGCCACGGCCCAGAGGTCACGACAGCCGAAAAGGAACGATCGCACACGGCCTCACGGGCCACACGCCGAGGCCGGTGAGTGGACAGGGCAGTCCAACGTTGGGGGGCAGCGCCGGCCCCAGCGCTCACCACGCGCTTCCTCTAAGCTCTGAATGCCGCCTGCCTTCCCAGGTGCCTGTTCCCTTGTGGCCCAGACACCCTGTCACTGGGCGAACAGCACAGGGATGTGCACCTGAGCTCAAGGCAGAGCCCTAAGCTTTGAGAACCTGGGGAGTGGGGGAGTAAATCAAATATTTAAAAATTAGAATGTTGTCCTAGCCAGTGTGGCTCAGTGGTTAGAGCGTCAGCCAGCACACCGAAGGGTCGAGGGTTCGATTCCCAGTCAAGGGCACGTACCTGGGTTGCAGGTTTGATCCTGGCCTGGTCGGGGCGCGTTCAGGAGGCAACCAATCGATGTGCCTCTCTCACATCAATGTTTCTCTCTCTCCCCCCTTCCACTCGCTCTAAAAATCAATGGAGAAAATATCTTCAGGTTTACCAAAAAAAAATTTGAATGCCAGGAGTCCAGTCCAGTTCAGGTCTGTATGAGGATGGCGACCGGAATAATGTAAAGTGATGACAATACTGGGGCCTTTTAGAAACCAAAGGAGGTTTCCCTAAGATCTATCTTGTCTAAAAGGCCCCCCAACCAAACCTGGGCTACGGAGTGCCAGCCACCCAGACGGGGCACACGCGGGGCCACCAGGGAGCCTCGGTGGCAGCAGCCCCCAGCGCTGGGGGCGGACCCCCCTCCAGCGGCAGAGCGGGGTGGGGTGGGGGGAGACCACGCCCTGCACGCACCCGCCCCCCCACCCCCACTCCTTGAT